CTGCCCGCTGCCCCACCCGCCCAGCGCTGCTGCCCCGCACTGCCCACTGCTCTGCTGCCCCGCGCCCAGTGCCCCGCGCGCCCACTGCCGCGCTCACGCCGCCGCCCCCTGCCGCACTCATCGTCACCCACTGCCGCACTCGCGCTCGTGAAACTTGAGCTCCTTCTCTGCCACGCGGGTCTGGTCGGGTCAGGGTTCGAATTTCCGACTCGTTTACCTACCCGGGTTGAGTCCGGGTTCAAATTTCTGACCCGTTTGAACCCGGGTCAATTTCGGGTTCGACCCGAACTCGACCCGTGATCCAAAATTGACACCCCTAATTCATACTCATGAGTTCCCATGTTAAGATATATTATACAAAAAAAAAAATGTATATATCACATACTAATATCTAATTATTATGTAGCTTCCATATTAGTACCATGAGAAAGAAAGCATGGAATCTTCTTTATCAATAAAGTAGAGACTAAGGACACAATAAATTTGGAGAGAGAGGGCACTTACCAAGTTAGTAGACCCCTTATAGACAAGGATATCATGGCTTTAATTATCACATATGTGATACTATCTTTGCTTTCATATGTGATTGATGCCAACTTGTATTTAATTTAAGGACTTTATTTGGTAACATCTACCTGCCCTTAGATTATTTATATGCCAAATGGGTGATATAATCATTAATGTAATAGCAACATGGCATCCAAATCTAGTTGAATAATAGGGACCCTTCATGCATGCAATAATTTCTAGAATTTAAGCAAATTAAATAGTAGATTCACACGCACTATATATACGAACTTCGATCACAATATCTCTTGGTTGAAAGCCTAAGCTCCCAACCACCAAATCAAGGAGGGCTGCATAATTTAAAATAATAATGAATTAAATTCATAATAGTACAATTTATATCAAAATAATCAAACATAATTTTAATTATGATTTCATGTCATAGGGAAATAATTTTATATTGATTATCATAGGGGTATCCAATAATTTTCCTAGAATTAAATTGAAGGAACAAACAACATTATGATTGATATCATAATATATTGTGTTTGATTATCAAATTATTTGCCTACGCTTTATGATAGTTGTATATGAGTGTGACTTCTGTGGATTCTATCACAGGTAAAGATGAATGTGACTTCCATTCTTAAAATTGTTTACCTGCATTTTATGAAAGTGACTTCCATGAAAGTATGGATGTCAAAATGGGATTACGGGTAGAACTCAAAACTAGACCTGTCAATATTGGACCCGACCCGAACCCGACCCGAAATTTTCGGGTTTGGGTTGACCCGAACCCGAAGCGGGTCGGGTTCGGGTCCGGAAAACCGACCCGTTTGCAAAAACGGGTCGGGTTCGGGTTGACCCGACGGGTTGCCGGTCTACTCAAAACTGATCTGCCATTATTTGACACTACCCGAACCTGACTCGTTTTTTAAAAAGGGTTGGAAGGTAGGACCCGAACTTGACCCGATTCAGACCCGGCCGGTTCAACCCAACTTACCCCACCAATCTAGGTCTGATAGATTTCAAAGCAGGCTTCACAATAGTTTCAGGTAAAAAGAGTAGCTTTCAACACACAACCACATAATTGTTTCACAACAACATGCAATTTATAATTTACAGCAAGTTTGTTTCAGCAATAATGTAAAAACAAGCACCGATAACTACTGTAAAACCGATGAGAGAAATTGAGCAAGAGGCCAAGAGGGAAACACACAAAGTTTAGAGGAGAACGAGAGAGAATCAAGAACGATAGAATGAGAGAATGAAACCCTGGAGCCAGCTATCCCCATGTCAAGAGAATAAGCCTTTACTTCAAACCTAGGTTTTACTCAGACATGGGGTGTCAAGTCAACTTCGAATTTTTGGTTCTACCCGAACCTGACCCGATTTTAAAAATGGGTCGGATTGTTGAACCCAAACCCAACCATCTGGAAAATGAGTTAACCCGAACCTGAAATTTTTTGGGTTGTGTCCGGGCGAAATTTCAGGTCGGATGATTTTAAGATGGAGTCGAGTAGTAACACCCCTACATTAAAGTAAGTTTCTTATTAGTGAACGTGGATGTTTGAAAATCTCCACTTGATCAATAATCAAACAGGTGGCTGCAATAGTTCATTTGATTCAGGAGAGCTTAGCAGGTTTAAAATTACCAGTTCATGATCTGTTAACAAATAAATCATCTTCAATATTCATCAGATTCATAACCCTAAAAACCCTAATATTTGAACAATTTCAATCAGTCTAAAAAAAAAGTCTTAGAATAATATCTGTCCTAGTTTGCACATTTATTGACGCATTCATGATTGGTTAAGAGTTTAAATCTTAGAAGAGAGCTTTCATTTCAAATAATTGGTTGAGAGTTCAAATCTCTTAAGAAAAGGAATTTTAACTAAACCGAAAAGTTAGGTTCATTTAATTTCACTTCTAATTTTGGTTTAATTCAATTATTGATTTGGAGTAAGAAACCCACAAAATATATATATATATATTTGGATTAGTTGAAAAATATGGCTCACTTGAGGCGTCTAGATAGGCTCATATAAGAGCGTAAGTAAGTCAAATTGATTTGTGAACCGGCTCAAGACCAGATCAATAAATAACTCATGAGCCGAAATTGATAAGCTAAAAAATTAGATTTGACGACCCTCCCAACTTGAATCATTAACTCACAAGTTAAATAAAGAGTTTGAGTAAAAATTTGACAAAATAATTTTAAAATTTTTATATCACAACATTGTATCAAGTTATTATTTATCATAATTCTTTTAATTTCTTTTTTTTAATTTACTTTTTTAATTATTATTTACAAATTTGAACTCAACATAAGCTAATTTATAATTTTGACTCAGGTTCGAAGCTGCATATGTAATGTGTTGTTTTCTCTTAATGACTCAAATGTCCAAAAGAAAAAAAAGTAAAAAAAAAAAAGACACTATGTACTTAATTAGATCTTATTATTTCATATTTGTTTGATTGAAATTAGATAAACTGAAATGAGTTTCAATCTCAAGGACTAAGAAATCTCTTTTTATAATATTAATCAAATAATAATATATTAATAGAATTTAATTTAAATGTTAATTTTATTTATTATAATCATTACTATTATTATTAGTAAAAAAAAATAATGAAGAAGAACAACACAAACAAATATAAGGATTGAGTTCACTCAAAAAATTCAAATTCAAACTCTTACAAAGAATTATAGGGAAAAAAAATGACATAGGTTAATGATCTAAGTAAAAAAATAATAACATAAAACAAACTGCTTGAATCCAAGACAAATGTTTCTGTTTCCAAAAATCTGAAAAAACAAAGGAAAACATTTAACAAAAAAATTAACATATATAACAAATGATCTTCTTATTGAAAGCACATTTCTACTTCAGATTATTTCTTGAAGCTATTCCCAAGCAATTTTGAAGGCCATGGCTTCTTTCAATGACTAAAGTGTCCCCTTGTTCTCTCAACTGTAGCAAACTCTTCTATTCCTGAAAGAGAATTCCTCATCTCCTGAAGGAAATTGAAGGATAGTTTCTCTCAATTTGAAAGCAAGATAAAGAGTATTAATAAGTTCAATTATTTACCCTTGAGCTCCTTGAGTTCCAACGTGAAGCTTGCCATGCAGGATCAATGGTAGACTCTGCAAAAGCCCTCAACTCATTTAGTTGTGGAAGCACAGCAGTAGCTAGATCCGGTCGATCTTTGCATCGAAGCTCGGCACAATTAAGGGCTATTTTAGTAAGCCTCATAGCTTGTTCCTTGGGCCAGTTTGGTATGTTAGGATCCAGAATCTGTTCAAAGTTTCCCATCTCAACAGAGTTTTCAACATAATGAGCAAGCCCCATTGGTGGCCTTGCAGTGACCAGCTGAAGAAGGATGACACCAAGAGCATAAATATCAGATTTTGTGCTCACCAAGCCAGTTTTCTGGTACTCAGGATCAATGTAACAGAATGTCCCAGCTGCAGCAGTCATGTGGTATTGGGTCGCGCCGGCGATTGAGGAAGGAATGAGGCGAGCCAAGCCAACATCACCAATTTTGCTAACAAAGTTGTTGTCAAGAAGGATGTTTGCAGGCTTAAGATCTCTGTGGACAAGGGGTTCGGGCTTTGTTTGGTGGAGAAAGAGGAGGCCAGTGGCTATTTCAGCGGCGATCTTGAATCGTATTTGCCATGACAATGGAGGGGTGCCAGAACTGCAGAAAAGGCGGTCTTCGAGGTTACCATTCGACATATATTCATATACCAGGCAACCATATTCAGGGCAGGCACCAAGAAGAAGGACCATATTTGGATGTCTGATGCAACTCAACACCTCCACCTTAAGAATTTATGAGGAAAAATTAATTAGAAAAAGTGCAGTACTCACTTGGAACATTCATATGGTTCATAAAATATTAAAAACAATGGCAAGTTTGATGATCACTTTGAATCATAATGCACGATAGCATGAGAGTCAATAATGATCACCCAAATAAGCTTGTTCCTTATGGTTTCCATTACATGCTTTCTGCTTTCTAGATTTTCTTAAAGTTGCATAGGAAATTATACCTGCTTTATCATCTTTACATTCAGTTTTAATTGAATTTGTAGCTTACTTCAGAGGATTTCATTGAGAAATTGAATCATTTGTTAGTTTAAAACTTGGATGGAGTCTCTAAAGGTAAATCTATGACAATTCATAATAGCTAGTTTTAGATGAATTGAATGAGAGAGTTATTTCAAATTGAAGTTTCAGATAAAACTCAATTTCCTTGAATACCAAGTTACTTTCCTCATTTTCCTTTCTATTGATAAAAAAAAATGTGGAACTATATACCTTGACCATTTCATTAAATGTTTTAGAAATGAGAAAAGTTTAGACAAAATAAAAGAGGAAGGAAATTCCTTCTATTGTAGCTCAAAAATGATTATTGAAATACAGCATACCTCTTTTTGGAATTGTTTAATTCCTTGAGCTACATCAGATCGTAGAATCTTAATTGCAACAACTGTATGATCAATGGTGGACTTAAAGACCGGTCCATATCCTCCTTCACCTATCTTTAGCGAATCTGAAAAGCTATCGGTTGCTTTCAAAATCTCATCAACACTGTACCTCCTATAACGAATATCTGAAGAAATTGTCTCCAGTTCTTTCCTCTTCTCTGCAATTTCTTGAAGCCATGTATGATTCTCACTTTTTTGACTGTTTACTTCATTTTCTAATTTAATAGCTTTTGGTGATTCTGGCAAGGGTAGTATGGATCTCTGCTTAATAAGGGCAGTCTTTGGAGCAACTACCACCACCTCATCCAAAGACGTATTCCGAGGGCGTATCTGCATAAATCATTTGTTTTAAAATTGCTCAAAAAAATTGCAGAAGGCTTGTGGAAAGACGTTTTGAAGTATTGACAATAGAAATATATGTACATAGATGAAATTATGTCGAGTGAAAGAAAACCATAAACTAAATAACTATAAGCGAATGATTGATGTCATTCATAGGAAAGATGCAGATTTTATGAAATTAAAGTTATTTTTAAGCATTCACATATGCATCTCCATATGGTATTGAACTCCCAAGTTTATTTTTGTGTAGTACCTCTGGAGTAGAATCATCATACGAATTTCTCTTGTGCTTCAACTCTAGCTTCAAACTACTCATCATAGATTCCAAATCATCCTGCAATTAATAGTAACTAAAAATTAATAGATAAAACATATCAAAAGAATTAGTGAAAGTACAAGCTAGTTGGATTCAGTATTCTCGATAAATGATCAACGGAAGCAATATTTGTTGAGGTTTAGACACTATTAAAGAAGAGCTCACCAAATGCATTATTTTTCTTCTATAGTAATGAAGTACTTCATATATCTCCTTTCAATTTACCTCACTTTCTTTACATTAAATTCTAAATTGCTATCAGAACAAGTTTTAGTATATCTTGGTTCTAACGTATTCATAGGTGTCGATCAAAAAATGACAAGAGAGGGATTCATCATATTTGGGTGAGTGGTTTCCTAATATAATAGAAGAGTAAAGGTCTGATTTGGGCGACAATTATTTATGAAGTCGGCTGTAAAACTGCTGTAGAAAAATTATTGTTTGAAATCATTAGGTAACTTTTTGTTTTAAATATAGATCAATAAGTTATAAAGGAGGATTAAGATACATATAAAAAAAATATTTTGTATGCATATATCTAACACATAAATCATTATATTTGCTTGTTATATAAATAAATATAAAAATTTAGGTGTTAGACATATAAATACATAAAAAAATTATAGTATGTATGTAAATCCCTTAATTATAAAACTTTCAGTTGAGAAATCATAGAAAGCCGTTACAACATTAGAATGTACAATGACGAGCTTGGTGATGGAAAATTATTTTGGATAGCAAAATTTTTGAAACATTGTGCCACACCATGGAGTCAATTTCAGCAAATGACAACATGAAATCCACAGAAAAAGAGTAGAAAACAGTAGATTTTGGAGGAAATAGTGGCCGATTTTGTTTAATAACTTAATAAGAAACAAAAAATACAAGCGATCTACAAATAGAGAGGTAGATCGTCTATCCCAATCAACGTAGACGCCATTAGAAAGCCCTCACATAAGAAAATACAGCTGAGAACTCAATAAAACATAACCCTAATACAAAATAATAATCCCTATATATGACCCTACTCTTCCCTCCAATTTAGCCCTAAAAGATCTCTCTTGCCTTAATTAATTCCCTCCCTCTTTTGAATTCAAATTCCCTTTACTAATTATTTCCTTAATTCTCCTCTTAACATATGTAATAATTGGTTTACTAGGCCTCACAAGGGGGGCCGAAATTTACCCCTCCGCCCCCTATAACTGGTCCACACCCTGGCTATTGGGCTGGCTGTAGAATCGGTCATGTTGGACCGGCCATAACACATTGTCAAAAAGATATTAGACAAATAACAATATGATTGTTTGAAAATCAAAGCAAATTAAAAACTAAAGTAATAAAACCCAAATCTCTTTGGATGAGTGATTATCATAACATTAAGAATGGACAAGTCATCGAAATTTTGGATGAGAGACTTCCAATATAAATTCAAGTTGTATGTTTAATAATCGTTTATTCATAATAACAAAATTCTCCTCTATCTACTTTTGATTTCAATTCATTTTTTTGGACTAAGTCAATTTAAAAATCATCACCTCATTATTTGTCTTCATGTTTAGCATCATAACAATTTTTCATAGCTAAAAATAAATAAATATTATTTGGGAAAGATAAGTCGAATTTAGACTTACAATTGAATGGTGTGACCAAGATCCAACTTCCCTCTTTGGTATAGGTGGCATGTGACCAATCCCATTTGATCCAGCATTACTTTGCCAATTACTGCCATTATTTGGCAACTGAATGTCATTACCATAGCCAGTTGCATTAGAGAAATTGTCATGATCATATGCAATCAAATTACGGCAAATGTCATAATCATATGACTTTAACACAAATCCTTTGCCTTGTTCTCCACCATTGTATTCATTGAGAAATGGAGATATATTCAATTGATTTCCATCAGCATCAATCTCTCGTGAAAATGAAACTTCAGTTTCGTCAAAACTTGCCCTGAATGGACTAGGACATGAGGTTGAACTATAATAAGAAACGTCAATATGACCTCCATTCTGGGATCCAATTGCCGTCATTTCACCAGTTCTGTTGTCATATACCCTCTCATATATCGCATTTCTTGTGCCATGGACAGCTCCAATTCTGGTTAAGAAAGTGGAACTAGAAGGGGTTATTTTCCTTATAAGACAGCATAATCCTTATATTTTCCTTAATTGTTAATCAAGAGAAAAAAGAGCATCATCAAGTTTAATCAAAATGTTAAAAAAGACATCATAATCCTCATATTTTAGAATCTGAAATGCTCAAAATGGAATCCAAGGGGTTATTTTGTTGAACTTTCAAAATGTAGTGCTATCTAGAACAGTTGCATTAATCCTTGTTCAATCCAATGCAGTGCTTTCAAGAATGATGTTGATTTTATTATTATTATTATTATTTTAAGTCTAGTGCCCAATACCCATCTGATGAGTTATTGATAGGTACCACTTGAGTATTTCAAGTGATTCCTATCGGGTCTAAGCCAAATCACTAATAATCCGCTGTTTTCTATGAAGTATAATAATCTAAACTTAAAGAAATGTTCATTATCACCAAATGGACAGTACAAACTTTAAAAAGAAGCAATTTCAAAAGACCATGAAATTTAATAGGCTGGATGCTTTTCTATCATGTTCTGATAGGAAATACTTGAGTTCGCAAGTAACCCTAAGGTTATACTTGAGTTCTCAAGCAATCCTAACACAAAACGAAGAGCAAACAGCAGCCAATCTGCTGTCCACAGCAGAAAAACAGCAAAATCACAAGAAAAGCTGTGAGAAAACTCAAGAAGAAACTTGTATTCCACTAGACGATGAATAAAATAGCAAGATACAAGAGATCCTCAATTCGAGAGGAGGATCATCTCTCCCAAATCTCTAGACAAGGTTTTCTAGAGCCCAAGCCTCCAAGAAACCCTAATTTCAATTAATCAAAACATGAAACATCTCTAATTCCCTCATGCACTTTAATACACAAACCTTTCTAATACAATTTCCCTCCTAAACCCAAGCCCCTCCCCCTCTATTCAATTTTTCAAAAATCATTAGATGGGGCGGGCCCCATCAGCATTGGCGGAACAGCCAAAGGAGGCGGCTTGTTCCGCCTCCTATAGTGGAGAACCGGCTGGGCCGGTTCTCTGTGAGCCGGCGTAACAATACCGCTCTCCCAAAGAATCACCTTGTCCTCAAGGTGAAAATCTGGGAATTGTTGTTTCGTCCTCTCGTATGGCTCCCGCGTGGCCTCGTAGTCAAGTAGGTTCTTCCACTGGATCAACACTTCCTTAGTTTCATCTTCTTTCTGGCGAACTCCCATCAGCTCTAAGGGTTCCATAACCACCTCTAAATCCTCAGTGAGAGTCGTAGGAAGCTCGGGGTTGGCAGTGTAGTCACCAATGGCCCTCCTCAACTGTGATACATGAAAAACCAGGTGTATCATTGCCGATGGTGGTAATTTCAGTCGATATGCCACTGCCTTAATCTTCTCCAGCACTTCATAAGGCCCATAGTACTTTGGAGCCAGATTTTCATTCCTCCTATTGGCTACTGTCTTCTGCCTATATGGTCGGAGTTTCAAAAACACCTTCTCCCCCACTTTGAACTGGATGTCCTTCCTATGCCCATCCGCTTGTTTCTTCATAATTTGTTGAGCTCTCAGTAAATGCCTCTTCAACTCCTCTAGCACTCGATCCCTCTCCTCCAAGTATTCCTCTACTGAAGACACGGGAGTGCTGCTACTCCCAAAGTGCACCAAGTGTGGGGGATCCCTTCCGTACAACACCTTGAATGGGGTCATCTGTGAGGCAGAATGAAAAGATATGTTGTACCAATACTTTGCACATGATAGCCACTTAGCACATAGCTTAGGTGTTTCTGACACAAAGCATCTCAGGTACGTCTCCAAGCTCCTGTTGACTACTTTCGTTTGGCCATCCGTCTGTGGGTGGCAAGCTGTATTCCTCTTCAGAATTGTCCCCAGCAATCTGAACAACTCTCTCCAAAAGTGGCTTACGAATACCTTGTCTCTGTCTGATATGATCGCCTCGGGTACTCCATGTAACCTGACACTTTTCTAATGAAAGTTGAAGACATTGTCACTGCTGTGTAGGGGTGTCGGAGGGGAATGAAATGTGCATACTTGCTAAACCTATCCACCACCACCAAAATCACCGTGAATCCCTCTGAACGGGGCAACCCATCTATAAAATCCATAGAGATCTCCTCCCAGACTCGACCTGGTAAAGCCAATGCTGCAATAGCCCCCCTGGTGACATAGCTAGATACTTATTCCTTTGACAAACCTCGCACCTAGATACCATCTCTTCCACATCCTTATGCATACATTTCCAGTACAGCTCTGCCGCCAGTCTCATGTAGGTCTTTAGCACTCCTGAATGACCTCCCACTGCAGTCCCATGGAACTCCTGGAGCAAATGTGGAGTGTGAATTGATGTTCTGGGCAACACAAACCCCCCCTGGTACAGCAATCTCTCCCCCTCCAATGAATACGTTGGATGGCTGTCCTCTTCCTTTAGTAAGTCTACCCTGATCTTGCCTAGTTCTTCACCCCTGGCACTCTCCTCCTTGATGGCTTCCCAGTCCAGCATCATTGGGACTAATACAACTATCGTCTGCAGCTCCCCCATGCACCTGGACAAGGCATTTGCGGCCTTATTTTCTACCCCTGGCCTGTACTGAATCTCAAAGTCATAGCCCAGCAATTTGGATAGCCACCTCTGATGCTCCTCTATCACCATGTGTTGTTCCAGCAAATATTTCAGGCTCCGTTCGTCGGTCCTGACGATGAAATGTCTCCCGAGTAAGTAGGGACGCCACTTTTGAATGGCCAAAACGATTGCCGCCATTAATTCCCTCTCATAGACGGACTTCAACCGGGCTCTTGCAGTCAACACCTGACTGAAATAGGCAATGAGCCTGTGATTCTACATCAACACCGCTCCTAATCCATACCCCGATACGTCTGTCTCAACTATGAAGACCTGAGTAAAATCCGGCAAAGCTAAGACCGGAACTGTGGTCATAGCTTTCTTCAACTTCTCGAATGCTGTCGTGGCTGCCTCCCCCCATAGGAACCCATCTTTCTTCAGCTGCTCCGTGAGTGGCCATGCTATAGCGCTGTATCCCTTCACAAATCTTCTGTAGTATCCTGTAAGCCCTAGGAATCCCCTCGACTCCTTCAGATTTTTAGGCAGTGACCACTTTAACATAGCTTCAATCTTAGACTGATCTGATGCTACCCCTTCCTTGGATACCACGTGGCCCAAGAACTCCACACTGGCTTGTGTGAAGCAGCACTTCTTCAAGTTAGCCCGCAGCTGGTGCTCCTGGAGAACCTCTAGCACCTTCCTTAAATGCCCCCAATGCTCCTCCTCTGTTCTGCTATACACTAGGATGTCATCGAAGAATACCAAAACAAATCGCCTGAGATACTGTTTGAAGATCTTATTCATGAGTGCCTGGAACGTGGCGGGAGCATTGGTGAGGCCAAAGGGCATCACTAGGAACTCATAGTGGCCCTCATGAGTTCTAAAACAGTCTTGGGCACATCTTCTTTCTTCATTCGAAGCTGATGATACCCTGATTTCAAGTCGATATTGCTGAAGATCACTGTTCCACTCAATTCATCTAACAACTCGTCAATCACTGGTATAGGAAACTTATCAGGTACAATTTCCTTGTTGAGTGCACGGTATTCTTACACAGAACCACCAGCTGCCATCTTTTTTCTTCACAAATAGAATAGGACTAGAGAACGGGCTGGTACTGAGCCTGATGATCCCTGCTTCCAGCATTTCTCTGATCAAAATTTCTATTTCGTCCTTCTAAAACTGAGGGTAACGGTAAAGTCGCACGCTAACAGGTGACACTCCCTCCTTTAATGTGATGGCATGCTCCTACTCCCTGGGTGGTGGCAACCCTAGAAGGGGTTGAAAAACCTCATAAAATTCTTGGATCAAAGGCTACACAGAGAGAGGTATATCTCCCCCTTCCTCCAAACTCACTTCCTCCAATCTGTGTAATTTCATCAAATAGCCTTCCCCCTCCTCCTGAATTATCTTGATTAGGGATTTGAGAGAAACCCCTGCCTTGGTTAGCCCCGCATCACCTTGAATCACCCTCTTTCTTCCTCCCTTCACCAACTCCATCCTCAGAGTACCCCAATTGATCTTGGTTTCCCCCAAGATCTGCAACCACTTCATCCCTAGGATGACATCCATACTCCCCAATTCTAGGGGAAGGAAGTCTTCCTTCACTGGGATACCATGGATCTTCAGCACACCCCTCTACATACTCCTCTTCCCATTTCTACCTTTCTTGTGCCCATCATCTCCCCATAGCCTCCTATATCTACTAACTCCAACCTCAGCAGCTCCACCATCTGGGTGAAAATAAAATTGTGGGTTGCCCCACTATCGATCAACACCACAACTTCACGATCAACTCTCTCCTTTCACCTTCATAGTGTGACTCGGAGTGAATCTCACTACGGAGTTAAGAGAGACTTCTGTCACATCCAGTTGCAGCTTCTCCTCCTCCTCCTCTCCAGATCTGCTCCCACCTCCCTCCTCGTCTTCCTCGTCTTCGTAGACAACGAGAACCTGAAGAGTTCAGTCCTTGCATCTATGCCCCAGCATATATTTCTCATCATATCTGAAGCATAACCCTCTTGTCCTCTTATCCTGCATCTCTTTTTCTATCAGTTTTTTGAAAAGTCCCCCATTTCCTCCCCAGCTTTCTCCTTTGGTACTTCCCTCAGATTCCCTAGCGCTGCCCCTCTTGATGGTAAAAAAGTGGTGGTCATCCTGTATGACCCCCTCGGAATAGTTCCCTCTAGCTCCCCTTTCTAATTTCTTTTGATCATTCACCAACTGCGCCAGCGCCATAGCCTTGCCTAGGTCCCTTAGCTCCATCACCCTAACTGCTGCCATATCTCAGGTTTCAGCCCCTTCATGAAGTTCCCTTCTAGAACTGACTCTGAGATGTGATCCAATCTGCTAGCCAGGTACTAAAAATTATCCTGGTAAACCGCCACAGTCCCTTCCTGAGTCAAGGAAAAGAATTGCTCATAGAAGTCTCCTCCCCCATCGACTCAAAAATGGTCTAATAAGCAATCTTTGAATTCTCTCCAGCTTCGGATAGGCTCCCTCCTGTCACACCATTGGTACCATGCCAAAGCTTTTCCTTCCAAGCACAATCCCGCCGCTGTCAGTTTCTCCTTCTCTGTCAACCGATTGACAGCAAAGTAACGCTCCACTATGTAGATCCAGCCATGGTCATCTTCACCCTCAAAGAAGGGCATCTTCAGCTTCCTCACCCGTGGGTCTCCTCCGTTTCCCCGGTATCCTTCATAACCTCCCATTCCTCAAAGGGGAAGAGTTCCCCAAGTGTCCTGATCATCCCTCCGACGATTATACTCAAATCCCTCTTCATACTCTCCTCTTCTCTCTTCAAAATCATCACCTCGACGCTGAATTCCTTCAAATTCAGCACCTTGACGATGACGTGCCTCCCTTCTTCCTTCAAAAACAGCCCATTGACGTTGAATTCTTTCGTATTCAGCACCTCGACAATGAAATTCTTCCCTCCCCCCTTCAAAATCAGCACCTCGACGCTGGATTCTTTCAAATTCAACACCTGGGCGATTGAATTCTTCCCTCCTTCCGACAAAATCAGCTATCCCCTACTCATCTCTTCTCTAGAAAGCGGTTCTAGAGTGGGCAGGCCATTCTCCTCCTCTAGGATCTCCACCTCCAAATTCCTCCTCCCCCGTAACGGGTTCAGATTTCCTCCCATGCCATGGCCGTCGGTGGTCTCTCATACTTCCGATATCGCCGGATTGGTCTTCATTTCAAGTAATTTCTTCATCATTTCTTCCATCACGGTGAACTTCCCCTCCACCCTTTCATTGTTGGAGGTGATTTGATTTTGAAAATAAAAAAATCTTCCCTCCAAATCGGATTTCAATTGTCCGATTTCGCCTTCCAAGACTTCTACCTTCTTCCCAGCCATCGTTCTTCCCAAGAATCACAAAGATCTTTTTCCGGAAACAAAAATCCTGCTGAAATTTCAGGATTTCAGCCGCCAACGGTCCCAAAAACGATTCTCTGATACCAATTTGATAGGAAATACTTGAGTTCGCAAGTAACCCTAAGGTTATTCTTGAGTTCTCAAGCAATCCTAACACAAAACGAGGAGCAAACAGCAGCCAATCCACAACAGAAAAAAAGCAAAATCACAAGAAAAGCTGAGAGAAAACTCAAGAAGAAACTTGGATTCCACTAGACAATGAATAAAATAGCAAGATACAAGAGATCCTCAATTCGAGAGGAGGATCGTCTCTCCCAAATCTCTAGACAAGGTTGTCTAGACCCCAAGCCTCCAAGAAACCCTAATTTCAATTAATCAAAACATGAAACATCCCTAATTCCCTCATGCACTTTAATACCCAAACCTTCCTAATACAATTTCCCTTCTAAACCCAAGCCCCTCCCCATCTATTCAATTTTTCAAAAATCATTAGATGGGGCGGGCCCCATCAGCATTGGGTGAACAGCCAAAGGAGGCGGCTTGTTTCACCTCCTATAGTGGAGAACCGGCTGGGCCGGTTCTCTGTGAGAAGGCGTAACATGTTCCACCTTATTTTGTATCTAGTGGACAAGTGGAAGAATCTAGAAGATAAGTACTTGATATCATGATAGTGGCAAAAGGTAAATGAAGCTCCTCTTTCTCACCCCATTCTCAATCCTACTAATATTATAGGGATTTCTTAATTCTCTCTATTTCAAGGCCAACAAGCGCTAAAAAAATTTTGTTTTCATTATATCATTCCTCAAAATATTTTCTTTTGAAGGAGGCAAGAAAGTGGTCGGGGTTTCTACAGTTTAAGAAGAGATTCTTGACTTCTAACGGGGGATGGCAGTAATCTTGGGTTGTACATGTGTATCTTGATATCCATTCATTAGGTAGAATTACTTCTATAAAGAAACTCCCTTTTCTTACCTTCCAGAAGGTCCAAAGTGCCGTCTCACTTCAGGTGTACCTGGTCATTTTAACAACATTAGAAAACCGAGTTTGAAGCGAAGCAAAACAAGGGAAAATGAAAATAGAAGAATTAGAAACATGTAGAGCTCGCTACAGAACTAGTTGATGAGAAAGTTAGCTAACTTTTAACAGATTGGAAGGGACATCCGGTGGAATCCAACTCTTGAAGCTTGTTGGCAAAAAGCTTTTTTGGACGAGTAGCTGGACGAACTGATGATATCTTCCCTTTAGATATAACATACACAGAACAAAATTCTGGAGCAGTCTTTGAAACAGCTGTTGGGACATCCAGATTCTTGAAAGTCCTAAAAGATTGATGAGGAAAAGGAAAAGGAAAAGGTAGCACTTAATATTAATTCAATAACTTAGAATGTAAGAACTTCAACAAAGCTCTTAAAAATCCGGTCAATAATGAAGTGATTTATATTGTAAGATTTTAAATCTTGACAAAGTTTTTACCTCGTAAATGCATTTCTATTTGATGAGCCCACAACTAGCTTGTCAACAGCCAGGAATATGACAAAATCTACAATTGCCTTGGCAATATCAGACTCATTCAGAATCACTTCCTTGCACTGCAGCTGCATTTTCAATAAAATATATCAAATATTCCATAATGGTACATGAAAGTGAAGAAAATCAACCAATAACTAATCATAAAAGAATAACCGGCTTGAAGTATTTGGTATCAACTACAAGCTAAAAAAATATGAAAGTTAATGCTTCATAAAAGGAATAACAGAATGAACTTCATTGGAAAATGCATTGCATTAATATCCCATGACTCAAATAGGCTAACATGATAAATCATGTGAGAGAATTGGGTTTAATTAACCATCACATAGATGAAAGATATGTTGGTATGTATATATATATGCTAAAGTTTTTGGCTTCAAGATAATTAGTTCATTAGTCCAACAATAGATGGTTGATGTGAAAAGTTCATACATAAAAATGAGATTGTTAAATGCATGATTATTGAGTTTAGTTTCATATAGGATAGCTGAAAAGAAGTTAAATTAGGAATATCAAGTATTTACCCTCAACCATAGCTTTAAGCAGTTGGTGAAAAAAGAATTTGATAAATAATGTATGAAATCCAACTTTATTTCCCTTCGATTCACACTCAATAACACGTACAATTCTATTCAAAAGGAGCTGAGGAAAACATAAAACTTACCCCTCTTCTGCTGCAGAAACATTGAAAAGGAAGAAGTAGCTCTTTAGTTTGAAGGTCAATTTGCTCGATATAAGCAGAGGAAACATCATCATCCACATCAGTGATTGGAATCTGGAGTCCAGCTGCAAATTCAAAAGGAAATTTATGCATATGAGAAATAGTAACATATTAAAGCTTCTAAAGCAGAAATGGTGATCTCTAATATAGATTAAATCAAGCTTCATATTTTATTGAATTAAAGCAGAACTCATAGGTTTTTAAAAGAAGTATCATGTTCTCAAAGAGGAGAACCTTAAAATAAACAATAAAGTACAACAACTCTATGGCAAAGACTGCCTTAGGACAAGTTAAAAAAAGTTACGCATGAATCTTATAGGCCTTATTAAGCTTAGAATCTAAGCAGTTTGATTGATTATCTAAAAAATTCATAAATTATTCGAGGAAAATATACCAAATTAGAGAACTTTGTTAACAAATTCAACTCAAGATTCCCTCTTGAAAGGGAAAATTTTGGATCAAAATATCTTGATTCAAATTTGGTTAAATCTTGTAAAACTATTTGGCAATGTAACTCAAGATTTAAATTGATAAGTTCATTAAAGTTTAAATTTAATTTGTATTTTAAAACTAATATATATTTTAAATATAAGTTGTTTATTAATTTTAATTTTATTTATCATCAATAAATTATAATTATCAATAATATAGTTATAAGTTAATTTAAGTAATAGTTTTATTATTAATTATTGTAAAGAGAGGGGAAAAAGCAAGATTAAGAAAAGCTAATAGGAGCGAATTAGTTTATGGTATTCTATTTCTATAATTTCTCTTCACTTCGGTCTTTGTTTATGCTCTTCTGGTTGCTTTTCCGCGTGGACATTTCTTCGTTGATGATTCGACTTTGCATGCTTCGCGTTAAGTATCGTTTTGAAAGAGTCACTAAAGAGGCTTCTTCGCCTCCTTCGAGGACGTCGGATAGGAAGTAATTACGGGAGCTCGCTCGCTGGGAAGGTAACCATCTTTCTTCCTTCTGCACGCTTCTTCAGCCAAATCCAATAAATATACCGAACTCTCAGGGGCTGTTTGGTAACAAGTAGGATTTAACTTTAGTGGGATTTAGACATTTAGTAAATCCTGTAAATCCGGATTTAGTAAATCCAAAATGTGTTAAATCTTGAAAACCGTTTGGTATGCCAAATGTTAAATCTTGTTAAATCCTGAGAAACTGTTTGATAACATATTATACAATTAATTATTTAATTAATTTACTTAATTATTAATAATTTAAATTATATTAATTAAGTTAATCAATAAAAATTTTTAGAGCCGTCTATGGTTTGCCTTTCATCTTCTCTTTTCGTCGTTGCTGAGCAGGTGATTTAAACTCAAGGCATAATTAAATCACTGATTGTCATTAATTCCTAGTAAACCGGTCAGGCAGTCCGAGCTCCTCCCTCAGGCTCCTAATGTAATTCATCTTCGTCTTCTTATGAATCATAAGGCTAAGAATCTCATGAAGCACCCCAACAGTACGCTTTTCCATCAACTCGCTCTCTGGGTCGATCCCAGAACAGTCTTCGTAGGGGGGAAAATGGGGCAGCCGGTGAAACTCCTCCATCCAGGCCTTGACCTTCTTCTGCGCGCCGTAGCCACGCGGGAAGCTCATGTTAAAATCGTCAACCCGGATCGGAAGTTACGAGATTTTAATCGGAAGCATGAACGGGAGCTCGCTGGCTGTGAAGGCAACTTTCTCCCTTTCGCGCGCTTCTTCCCATTAAATCCGGCTACCCCTCGGATTTACTAAATCCCGGATTTAAGCCATAAATCCGTAAATCCGGGATTTACCGAATCCTGGGATTTAAAGCGCGCACAAAAACTGTTTGGCTGGATTTAGCATAAATCCGACTTAAATCCCGCTGTAAATCCGATACCAAACAGTCCCTCAGATTTAGTAAATCTGGGATTTACGGTAAAAAGAGGGAAACGAAATATTTATTTCTCAAACCCCTTTGACAGGATTTAGCATAATTCATGCTCAAGTTCAGCATAAATCCTGTATTCAAAACAGCCCCTAAAATTTTGTATTTTTAAAAAGATATTGCCAAAAGTAAACTCCAAAAAAAAACACTCAATTTAAATGTTAATGATAGGCAAAATCCCCCAATTTTAAACCTGATTATATTAATCGGAATTTAGGCTATTTAATCTGGCTCCTTTGAATTAACTACTAATGAGCTTAACTAGCTAGAACTTAGGAAACTGATAGACTAATTCTCGGTGACCTTAGCAGGCTCTTGTCGCTGTCAATTCCCGAAAGCAATAAAACCAAATGCACATTTCTATGTGCGAACCCCAAAAGAGAAGTTATTACTTATTGGTGTAATGAATTAAACGCGAGACGGTGAAAATAATACGAATTCAGCTTACATGGAGTCGGAATAGTTGTGATCTTTCGGCGGACATGCAGAAGGATGAATATCTCGTTCTTAGACAAGATATGATCGGCCGCCCACTTGAGAGCGTGCTGGCTGCTCTTGTCGCTGCCGATCGCCACCACCACCAGCTGAGATGCAGCGGTGGCTTCATTCTTGCCGCCGACTTGACGGAGCTGCGACCCTTTCCTTTGCATATTTAACAACGAGAAATCGAAACCCAATTGCAGACTCAGAAACGAAAACCTCTGTTGCTTGATCCATCCCCTTTTCAATCTCGAATGCCGGCCGTTGAGGTAGCGTTTCCGGCCATAATCCAGTCTCCATCCCGAAATTAGGGTTTTTTGGTTTCTTTCACCGCTAATCTGCTCCGGTCATCTCGTATCGAAGACCAACGAGCGGACCGTACCGACGAGAGGGAAAATTCGTTTGGATAAATTTTTAAAATAATTATCGTTAATAATTTAATTATCTATTAAATCAATAAAATAAATAAATTTAGAACTATGTCGCTCATGGGCGACGAGAGAAATCTAGTTTGTTTAATCACCATCTTAAAACACTTTCAGGATCTTTACAATCCCCCTCCTCCAAATTGTTTGAATTTGGATATTTTTCCTATTGGTAATGTCATTCCTGAAACTACTGCTAATGTGCTTTTCCTACCCTGTTATTAATGAGGAAATTAAAGCTGCTGTTTTCAAGGGTTCTTCCTCAGCTGCTCCAGGCCCTGACGGTTTTAATTTTCATTTTTACAAAGCCTGGTGGCACATTGTGGGTCCTCATGTTACTTCTGCTATTATATCCTTTTTTTCTAAAAGTTATATGCCTAATGGGGTGAAGTCTGCAGCTCTTGCTATTGTTCCTAAACATAACAATGCGGCTAACATCTCTGATTACAGGCCTATTGCATTATGTAATGTTGTTTACAAAATCATTGCTAATGTTATTGCTACCAGGCTAAAACCTGTTATGCCCGCCATTATTGAGTTTAATCAATCTGGTTTTCTTAATTCACGTGTGTCTACTGATAATATTCTGTTAGCCAGTGATATTCTTGCTTCTGTCAACAAAAGAGGTGGTGCTAATATGTTATGTGCAAAATTAGATATCAGAAAGGCCTTCGATTCTGTTTCGAGGGATTTTATATTTGCTAGAATGACTCAAAAGGGCTTTCCTAGTCCTTTTATCAACTGGATTAAAATGTGCATTTCTGATGTCAATTTCTCTATTGTGTTAAATGGTTCTTTGGAAGGTTACTTCCCCTCTTCTGCCGGTCTGAGACAAGGGTGCCCTCTTAGCCCCTACCTCTTCTGCCTTGTCATGGATGCTTTCTCCACTCTTATGGATGGGAGAGGGTTTAAAGGTATTTCGGTTGATAATTTCAAAATCTCACATTTACTATATGCTGATGATGTGTTAGTATTCGGTGATGCTTCATTAGACAATTGTCATAAGCTTGCTAGCATCCTTAGAGACTTTGCCAAAGCCACGAGTTTACATGTAAATTTTGACAAAAGTGCTATTGTGTTCCCTAAACATCAAAGGAATCAACAAGCTATTTGCCAGGTTCTATCCATTCACAACATTACTTCAAAGATTACTTATCTTGGGATTCCTCTGTCTTTCTCCCGGCTTAAAATTGAAGACTTTCTCCCTCTTATTGACAGTATAAACAAAAAAATGAATGGTTGGAAGGCTAATTTGCTGTCTTTTGCTGGCAGACTATAGTACTTAAAGTTTACAATTCAAAATTCAATTGGGTATTGGATCCGGGGTTCTATTTTGCCAAAAACTGTATGCAAACTTCTTAAAAAAGTGAGTTTCAGGTTCCTTTTTTTTGGAGATTCCACTCTCTCTAGAAAACTTCACATGGTCTCCTGGGATGTTATTTGCCGTCCTAAACACAAGGGTGGATTGGGTGTGTAGTCTATTAATGCCATACAGTATGCTTATAACTGTTCTCTCATCTTTAGGATGTATAACAGTAAATCTCCCCTCTCTATTTGGCTATCCAATAAATACTCCTCCCCTTGGCGTCTTCCCCCCTCAAATGCATCCAAATTTTGGAAATCTATTTGTAAGACTGCTAATGATGCCAAAACATGCTTTACTTTTAAAATTACTGGGAATGCTCCTATCTCTCTTGTATGGGATCATTGGTGTCATAATCTGACTCTTAGGGAGTATTTGGGAGGTGCTTTCTCTATTGCTGACTGTCAATTGAGATCTCTGTTCTATAATAATTGTCGGAATTTGCCGGAATATATACCTGTGCAGCTGAGACTTTTATTTGATCAATCTGCTGATAACGACACCACCTGTTTATTTTGGAAAGACAGATATACTTCCAAATTTAAACATTACGTTGAACAGTTTTATTATGATTTACCCAACTCTAACTGGTTCAAAGCGATCTGGCACAAAGGGAGTTGTCTTAAACACAATGTTTTTGTTTGGTTGGCTCTTGTTGGGGGCCTTAAATCCGCTGATGCTCTTAGAGTTAGGCATATTACTGTGCCAAGTAAATGCAGCCTATGTCACTCTTGTGATGAAATTGTTTCACATCTCTTTTATGAATGTTCTTACTTCATATCGGTATTGAACGCTGTTATTCCTGACACCAAAAGTTTACTACTAAGGCCGTCTTTACTTCACTTGTTTGCCTGGGTGAATGACACGTACAAAGGTAACAAAATGGTTAAAAACTTTCACAAGTTAATGGTTTGCTGCTCTACTTACTTTATTTGAAAGGAGAGAAATTCTAGGAGATTTGGAGGGAATATGCAAAGCTCTGTTACTACTTCTCTGGTGATCAAAAAAGTTGTTTTTGAGAAGGTGTTAAAATGGAGAAATTCTTTCTATCTACTGGAGAGGTTATAGTTTGGCTGGGACTCAAGCCTTTGGTCCCTTTCTATGCGGCTGGTGGTTCTCTGATCTTAATTTCGCAGCAGTTTTGGCCGATCTGGACAATGATGATGCTCCTTCAGCTGCTCCCTTGGACATCCTCCGGGCAACCAGGGAATCGTGACCCTACCGTGACCCATTAGTGTATTCTTTAATCAATTCTAAGTCCAGATCTTCCAAGCTAAGGAGGTTGTTCGGTTGCAGGTTTTTTTTTAGCTTAACTGTTTCATTTGTAAGCTTTGTATTTGAGCTTTTAAGCTGTTGTTATCTGGGGTTTATGTTTTTTTACTCCCAGTTCTTTTTGTAGAGGTTGTCTGTTTTGACCTCTTTTTTTGATGTAATTTTGATGTAATCTCCTTTCATTATTTAATATACGGGCTTTGCCCAGATTTCCCCCAAAAAAAAAAAAGAAGTTACTATGAAAATAGTTTCTTAGTATAATTTTATTTTTAATTGTGAGAAAAAATAGCAAAATAAAAATATAATTGCAGCCTAAAAAGTAAAACAATAAAAATATTTGTCCAATCTCCCTTTATAACTCGCTTTTAATATTCAACTAAGATATATAATCTATTTCATGAATTAAACACTTCCATCAAACTCTATTATTCTATCTCTATGGCAGAGAACAAATTTGACACGTAGTGATTATGTGGTTGGGTTTGGTCGGAGTTAGTTTTAAATTTTTTTGGCGAATTATTTAAAGAGTATTTGATATTTTAATATTAAAAACTTTTTAATAACCATAAAATTATGTTATTATAAAATAATTCGCATTAATCTTAAGAAAAAAATGAAAAATAAACTTTTCTAGTTTTCTTAGGTTATTTATAGGGCTGCAAGCGAACTAAACGTTCGACGAGCTACTCGTTGTTCGGTTCGATTAAAGCTCGTTTGTGACCATTTAATTAACTAAACAAACAAACTTGAACAATATTTTAAATACTCGATTCTTAAATAAACAAACTTGAACACTAATGCATTCGGCTCATTTATGTTCGCAAACAACATCATTTGAAGTTCGTGAACAAGCTCGACATTAAGCTCGATAAGAAGCTCGATTCGTGTTCGATTTTGAACTCTTGAATAAGCTCGATAAAAATAATTAATGTTTGACTATAGAATTAATAAATATAAATAATGATTTTCTTTGTTACATATACAATTGTTTTTATTATAAATGTGTTTGTTCATAGATATGTTCATGAACGTGTTTGTTTGATAGTTAAAAAAAATTCGTTAAATATGTTCGTGAATAAGCTCGATATGCACTAAACGAACGAACATGAACCGAATATGAACACTCATTAATTTAAATGAACCAAACATGAAAACAAACAATAAAGCTCGAACAAACATGAACCAAATTTGAACAAGTTGATATTAAATGAACACAAACATGAACACTCACATACTCGGCTCGGCTAGGTTCGTTTGCAGCCCTAGTTATTTATGACTAAACTATTGTTGTTTTATTTTAATAACATTTCTAATATAAAAATAATTCGAGAAGCTTCTAACATAATTAATTTTCAAATAAGAATGAAAGTAGCCAAAAATAATAAAACCGTGGCAATTATGTTAGTTTAACTAATTAGGTGCACGATCATGACAAAGAGGTTAGCTTAACAAATTATGAAAATTAATATTTAATTAATAACATTCTTTATTTTCCTGAAACAAATCTTCTGGGCATAATTAATTTATTTCCAAAGATATGCGTTAGCCACTAAGATTTCGTTTGAGACAGCTTTTTTGCTACTTCATAAAACTATTTTTTACTACAAAAATTTCTAATTTAATTTTTTTTTTACTAGAAATCAATTTTAGAAAGCTACAAAGAAGCTGTCCCAAGGCTTCATTTGAGATAGTTTTCTTATCATTTTCAGAAGCAACTTTTTAGTACAAAATTTTTTTGTATTAAAAATTTTTTCACTAAAAAAAATATTTTAGAAAACAATAAAAATAATGTGTGAGCTATCTTTTGATTTTCTTTGTAATGCTTGGATATAAATGAAGGCTACATAATTTCTCTTGAAAAGTAAAGGATTATATTATTGTACTTGGTGAAACAAAACAAAGAGCATTGGTTATTATTATTATTATTATTATTGTTGTTGTTTTGAACTAAGGGCTAAGTTTTGGAGATAAACATGGTATTATTTTATAAGAGAAAAATATGTTACTTCCATGAAATTAAAGTGAGAGTAATAAGAGGTGTATGATTAGAAACCTTTATTAATTGGTCCCGACCTCTTTTAAATCTCTTGCCCTCGAAGATTAAGCGGTGTGCTTATAGACCACTCATTGATATGTCAATTATAAATATGCTAAGAAGAATAATAATATAAAAGATGATACCGTCGA